TAATTTTGATAAAGAGAAATATCTATTGATATATACATATTAACATGGTAGTGTAGTTTGTTTTACTTCATTTTAACACACATACATGCATATTAAACACAAATAAAGGTATATCTGCACATGTATACATACATATGGAAATAGATACTCAATGAATTCATTCACATGGACAAAATAAACTGATGATATAAACTGTCAGATAAGAAATTTGTCATTTGAGGTAAACAGTTTTAAATATTTTCTATAAATAACCAGAAATGGAATAGTGGGATGGATGTAGTCAGTTTTTTTATATTGTAGAGAAAGTTATGCAGAAGGAAAGCACTCTCGGCTATATGAAAATGAATATGTCGATGACTTAATGTAAACATATGACGAAATGATGTTGATTAATAGTTATATGGATTGTTTCGTTCACTGTTACAAAAACAAACATGTGACTAAGGTCACAGGCACTTGATGAAACATTTTATTCCTCAAATAAAAGAACACTTTTTTGCTATAAAATTTCACTTAATTTCTAAATTATTTAAAAGGATAAAGTTTTGTTTATATAATTCCAACATCGAATGAGTATCACTCATTTGTTTTCGCTAATGAAGATAAATTAATCTCAGTTTAAACGTTTTTTGTCAAATTTCCCGCATCACAGTTTAATTTATGTTTGAATCAACCAATTGAGTCAAAAGCGGTATATAATAAATTAACTGGATGCCGGTTCAGTGGCCTATACGTTAAGCGCGAAACCGATAGATCCTGGGTTTGAATCTCGCGGGGCGGGATCGTGGATGCACACTGCTGAGGCGTTCCACAATAGGACGAAACGACTGCCCAGTGCTTCCAGGTTTTCCATGATGGTCTAGCGTCAAATGCCTCATGATCTCAACTATTAAAATTACTATAATATCCACAAGAAGTCCCTTCTGATATTAATTGAAACGTATTTGTCCCATTTTCGTCAGTAAAGCTTAAATAATATACTACTACTACTACTACTACAATACTACTAGTAACAATAATATTAATAGTTATTATTATGTTCCGTGCTTTATATCAGCTTTAACTGACTTAGTGGTCTAAAGCTATTGTGGTTAACTATACACAGTCGTAACGTAAGAGTTCCCGTAGATCTCAGGCGTTGACAAATCACCTACTCATTGCTTTAATTCGTGATGACATTTTAGGTGACATCAGTTTTTGATGAACATATTCCTGAACTTGTGCAAATCTCCATAAGAATAAGTTCTTGAAATAAGAATAACAGTTCTATGCTATAAAATAAAAAGATAACTTTTTTTCGGCTCCGTTTTTTAATCTAGAAATATTTCCAAATATTTTAGGTGAATAGAAAATTAAATGAGGTTTGATGGTATAGTTGAAAAGTAGTTGCTGTAGTACAGTTTCAACCATTCCTTATGTCCTTTTAGATCATAAGAAAAATGTCTTCTGTGAATTCTTTTTTTTACTCAGTGATACAACGGGTTGTTTTAATCATTTAATGACTTGTAAAGATCCTGCTTCAGTAAGGAAACTCAGTTAGTTTCTTTGTGTTTTTCTCTCAAGCTCATTATAGAGAATGACGGAATTATTCTTTTAGAAAATCTGTATAGACAAACAAGAATACCCTGGACTATAAGATGAATATTGCTCCATATTTTTAATTTAATAATCTCATTTATTCCTTATTAACAATATTCCCCTTTCTTATAGCTAAGCACTTTGAACTGGATAAAATTATTTCCTTTTTGTCTACTTTTCATTTTGTAATTATGTATGTTGTAGAAAATTGGACCGTACTGTGTCAGTTGTCTTGATTTTGACTGAATGACTAACTAATCTATTCCAAATTTGTTCAATATTTTTCAGAGACAAATAATAAATGGTTAAAAATGTAAACTAAAGTGTAAACACAAGTTTTAATTAAAGTCGTTTCATCCTATTTGGGACTGGTCACCCGAATGTACTTAGATCTCAATGTTGATATTAACATTGACATCTGAACACAGCACATTTTATTTTAATCACTCGACACGTTATCCACTTGACTACAGAGTTTACTTAGCTACAAGATGGCGTAACATATGAATTTCTCTTTAATTTTAAGTATTTGTATTTTTCAGTCGTTAATGTTAAGGACTGATGATCAATATCCAAATTTAATTAAGACCTGATGAAGATTTTCCAACAGAGTTTGCAAGTCTTAATATCAACTACAGTAAAATAAAATCCTTACAAGTAATGCAGTGTAAATACGTAGGTCAAGTTTTAGAACCATCGTTACTTGAATACATGTCATCATAATAGACTTGTCATGTCTCAATGTAATAATCAATCAGTACAGATGAATCACTTATTTATTTATTCAGTTCTATTTACCACCGATAAGGAAATGTTTAGTTTATTACGTCATAATTCATAAATAAAGTCAAGTAGTATAGAATTTGGTTACTATGTTGTCCATTCATCTCACTAATTAAACTAATCTTTATGCACATATGTAATGGAAGGTAACTTTCTAGATGTTGCTCTCCTTCCGTTATCCATCTATTTGCATACATATATATTACCGTACCAAACATTGTTCATTTATGACAAACTAATCTCTTAATGCTATTATTATCATATAATAATGGCTTTTTGTTCGCCTGTGTGTACATATTATGTAATATCTAATAATTGCAGAATTAATGATGAAACTATGCGCATATGTATGAATCTGTGTGCTATAATAAGATGGATTGAAACGATTGTTTGACGGGGGGTGGTATAGTTGTGGTGTATGTTTTATATCACATTATTTTTACTATTTATATGTTAATTATTTATCAATTCATATTGATGAAATAATTAACTGATATCTCTATTACGTTTATTTAAGATAAATTTATTTCGTCAGTTGCGCTAGTTTACTGTTTCATTTTTTGTATGACTTTCTATTATGCGAACGACAACCGTTCTAATGATGAGTGTTCATATCTTGAAATTGATTGACATTTACATAGTTTTAATCTAAGTCATAGTAACTAACCCACATGTAATTAAATATATACAATTTCAAAATAAACATTATACATTCATAAGAATTATTTAATAAAGAGTTAAACGAATTATAAAACTGACCACTTAATCATGTATTAAATAAGATTTGAAAAGTTTACATTGATTGATTTCTCCACTCTCTCCGATTGTGACAGGTTGAAATCACGCAAGAGCCAACAATTTCCTCGGACTTACTGATGCCAACTAATATGAAACCTAGATTAAAAATTTTCTATCCATCTCCTTCAATCAAGTAAAATTTAAATTCTAAAGTGATACCAGTGACTTGGGTTGAGATCACACAGGGTGCAACAGTTCCTTCAAAAATGTAATAAGTTTTTCTGATGACTATCTACGACCACATTACATAATTTAGTCAACAGTTAGACTAACATCGAAACTGTATTGTAAATGGTCTTGAGCGGTATAAGTAGTTCTAACTTTTAGAAACTCATTTATCATGTATTTGACACAATCATAACTGATTAAATACGCAACCTTCTCGACTATGTCTGAAGGTTCAACACCAAAGGTGAATACAAAATGACATTTCTCTAACTTTCTAGAGACAGTTAACACTGATGTAAATCCCTCAAAGTACATTATTACCGTTAAAAATACAGGCATCACTTGAGGTTGAGTGCTATCTAGCACGAAACTTACATCCACCGTTTCTTCCAGACTATTTTGAGTCATGCAACATCAAAACATAGAGTACATGATGTCAAATCACTCACACAAATAACCAAATTGCAACTTGGTCAGTTGAATTCACTTAACCTCATGGACTAAACAAATATAACTTTGGTCACTAATCAGTAATCAATTAATTGTAAATTACATTAGAAGATTACAATTTGACATATTGAAAATTTTTAATCGTTTTAGTACATTTTGATAAATGCAATCACCATATAGCTGTAAACTTGCAAAGAAATTTTCTATTTATGATTTATTAGTAATTGTCTATATTTTCAATGATAGACATTGTTGTATAAGGATTAAAGGCGAATGAAGACTGTTGTGAGACTGAATAAAGTATCATAACCCATCTTTGAGAAGAAGCCAACATTCTGGTCAGATCAGATGCACGAATGCCATTAATCTGTTTTCATTATGATAACTGCTCAACATACCATATGAACTGAGTTTGTAAATGTGAACCATTAAATTCCAATTTAATAGTATGGTTTGATTTCGTGTGAAGTTGTTTATGAGGACGGGAAATAAATTTTTGTTTAGAACTAAATAGCTGTCATGTAATCCCTGTTTTTCGCTAGTTCTCTAGTTGAGGTCACTTTATGGTGAGATACACGGATCACGAAGTCATAGAAAATGGTGTTCATAGTGTTTTCAATCTTACACGTATTGCGATCTTGGTGATTCTTTGGTTTTATGAAAGTTTAATGTAAAAGGAATTGTAAAAGTCCTTACGATTTCCATGTTTAAATGTGAACTAACAGACAGACAACAATATCTTAGCAATAGGACATAAATTAAACAATCATCAAGTGATTCATAATAAATGAACATAGATACCAGCTTTTTTAAAAAAGCTCTCAATCGGCAATTTCTCCGTATCAGATCAATTTATTGGTGGTTCGTTTAAGAGCCTTATCCTTTGCTTGGCAATATAGGATAAGTTACTTTTCCGTTAGTTTCTAAAATAACCTTAACACAAAGTTCTAAGGTTTTTACTTCATGTTATTCACTTTAGTCGACAGCGATATAACTAAATGATTTCAACATGAGCATAAGTAATCTTGAAATAGAATTATTGCTTATTACCATACATTATTTATTGTGGATGAATAAATTTGTTTACAACATTTCATTCATTATACTCCAACCGTCTGTGTTTAGTTCAACTTTCCAGTAATAAATGTTGATTATCTGTTTCATTAATCTATAAAATTGATTAAACTGTGTAATTTTGTTTAAATTCTTTAACTACTTTTTAGAGAGAGCAGAATTTTCAAATAAACTAACATTGACTGAAACACAAGTGAAAATATGGTTTCAAAATCGTCGAGCAAAAGCTAAACGTTTACAAGAGGTTGAAACCGGAAAATATCATCTATCACCAAATGAAAATTTAGAGACAGCCTTAATTGCAGCCATGTCATCAGCAAATCAAGCATCACAATTAGGTACAACAAGTAGTAATAATAATAATAATGATAAAAATTATACAGATCCTGTGGATATGATAGCTCATGATATGACATCATTTCATACTATTCCAATATCACCACCACTTCCTATATCATCAACACCGGTTATTTCGTCTCCTTTATTACCTCAGTCAAAATTTCCTTTTCATTCTGTGTCCACTTCTCGAATTCCACTATCTTCTAACACACCAAATTCATCACATCAATATTTATGCTCATGTATTTCTCCGAATCACCAGTGTTCATACAAATCAACAGAACTGACTAGAGATAATATTCTACATCTTCCTACGACTAGTATGCTTTCATCTTTCCCAAATTTATCATCACCATTATCCACAGACCATTTGTATACACATAATCATCACCTTAACGTCAATAATAATAATAATAATAATAATAATAATAATGGCAAAGTACATTCAAATTATGATTGTGAACAAATTTCATTTAATCCCAATAAACCAAAGTTATCATCATTTAAAAACTTTTCACATGATGACTTTCAACATCAACTACAAAGTATAGAAACGGTAAACTCTAAACATTTTTCCACAACAAAAGTTGATAATAATAATAATACGTCTCTTTTATCCTTTACTAAAAGTCATCCTAATAAAAATATCCCTTCTAATGATATGATTACTACTAATTGTATTAATAAGAACAATATGAATGGTACAACACATAAAACATCAAAGCATACAATATCTTATTTTTCAAATGGGCAACGAATTGACAATCAACATGATAATCATAGTAAACTTATTAAGAATGATAGTAGCGATAATAATAATAATAATCATGATGATAATAAAGGTAATTTAACGAATATGAAATATGATTCTATTCTTGATTTTCAATCAATACTTAATAATCTTCAATCCAATTCAAATGGGATAAATAACTTGAAAACAGTTGAAACATTGAATGATCCATTGTCATTGTTATGTGCAGCTAATCATTACTATCAACAATATAATCAAAATAAAGAAATAGATCATAATTATTCAATTGATTTAAATAATAATCACAATTCAAGTATGTTTATGAATCGTTATATATTCAATAAACCTTAGCACATATTTTACTTGAAAATCACTTATAAATAAATCTCCGGTGACCGATTAGTATAAGACCACCTGGTACTTTAATAGCTTTCTGGTAACATCACTGACTGTAATAGTGAGTTATACAGGTATAGATCATGTGCTTATTGTCGATGCTCTTATGATTGAAGATATGACTTGCAAACGGTTTGTCGAATGTCACGAATCCTGAAACCATCTATCTATCTATCTATCTATCTATCTATCTATCTATCTATCTATCTATCTATCTATCTATCTATCTATCTATCTATCTATCTATCTATCTATCTATCTATCTATCTATCTATCTATCTATCTATCTATCTATCTATCTATCTATCTATCTATCTATCTATCTATCTATCTATCTATCTATCTATCTATCTATCTATCTATCTATCTATCTATCTATCTATCTATCTATCTATCTATCTATCTATCTATCTATCTATCTATCTATCTTTCTATCTACTTAAATATTTGTATACATATTGTAAGTTATATTTAAGAGAACATCTTGATTTTAATTGGAAAGTTACTCAAATTGTAGCATATTATAGGTACCTGTTTATAAGTCAGAAATGTCATTTTTAATTGTTATATATTATGCCGAAAGTTTATTCATAGATAACCATTTAAAAAGAATAAATAGAATATGTATTGCATAGAAAAGGGAAAATGAACACAAATAGTTCCTTGTACAATTGTTTATTTACGTTAATAATTCAAGTAGCCTACATTTTAAATGCATGTTGTTGATAGCTAGATAATAGCTATGATATCCCGCATCCTATAATTAGTATTGTCATCTATATATATGCCAGATAATAATGCTTCATCTGTCTTGCATATCATCGCCATTATTTTTATTCATCTTAGTATCAGTTTACTAACTAATGGTAAGTATCCTAGTGCAGCTTGGAATGGGTATTGTAAAAATAAATATCTATTGTTTCCTACCCAGTATTATCATTTTTATTTCCCAAATAGTTTAAAAAGATGGATGGATATGGGTGCGAAAATAGCAAACATTAAAATAAAAACAAACTCAACTTACTAGGAAGCTACTATAGAACAAGATTGTATTTGTTTACGTGGGTGTGAATATATGTATATTTATTTGCGCAGTAACCCACAAAATTCTATTCATTTGTATGTATACACATTAATAGGTATATTTCTAAATTATAGCAACTCGGTGTGAAACTATGTATGTATAGTATAACTGTATAAATGACTATTTATTTGTGAATTTTAGTCTGTTATATTGGTTTTTTTTTGTAGTTTTAAATCACAGGCTGATTTTTATTAGATAGCCGGGAAAAATCATAAACTAATGGACATGTATTTCATTCAAGTACATGACTTTTCAGCATTCTGTATCGGCTGCCTCACCAAGGAACGAAACCAGGACCTTCAGGCCATAGGACTAATACTTAAGCTTCAGATCACTAAATTGGCATTCAGTGGTTTACATTTCCAACTTTATTTAATTCTTAATATTGCGTAACCATCATAAATTGCCATTGATAATAATTGTCTGATTGTCGATAGGGCTGAACTCTGGTACGGCCGAGAGTGGGGAGAGTTCGCTCTCCCTCTCGAAATGCTCTCACATGGCCACGCGGATATAGCCTCTGCCAGGGAAGTCCTACTCACTGCCTTCTCGTCGCGGGGGTGTTGTTTACGAAAATGAGAAGACGAAAAGCGAATGTCTGGCGCTTTAACCGGATTCCAAACCAAATCAATGGTGCACATGGGCTCCAGTATCCTGCGGGAACAAATGGCATGTGAACCAATTGTTGGTCACTGGCTTCCATGGAACTGCATCTCCTCACGATGCTCCACTGCCTTGTGGATCAGACCTTCAGGTCGAAGGCTCGGGGTGTGGCCCTCTAAGAAGACCACCTGCTTCGGTTTGGGCACCCGGGCAGTATCACAGCCCTCACACATGTCGAATGAGATTTGTGTGGCGCATATGTATTTGGTACCTCCTTGTACCAGTGTTTATGTGTTAAAATAAATAAATAAATAAATACTGGTCACTGCTTCCAACTATAACTCTATAAATCACCTTATGAAGTCAGTCACCAGTAAGCGATAATGGTTTGGTTTTGGCTGGAAATATTAATAACTAGATGCTAACACATTATCTGAAGGTTGAGCTCTTGTCAAGAGACCTGAAGTTTTTTGAGTTCGATACGCAGTGGGATCATGTATGTGCATTATACTCATTTTTAAAACAAAACAACAAGTTTATTCCAGAATTGAGATATTACTGAATAAATGAGTAATAGATTGATAAATTAACTTTAAAGGACTAAGTATTCTTTTTATATATTTCATTACATTGAAAACAAATGAATACATAATTACATGCATTTTATCAACTATACTCTGGATGTATATTTAATGATAGTAGGAGGAGGAGAGTATTTTAATTTTTCATTTAGTTCATATCAAGTATTATATTTCAATAATTTTCTAATAAACATTTTGTGAAATTTTATTTAATATTCGAAAAACTACTAAGTATATTTAAATAATATATGTACATGTGTGTGTGTGTACATGTAGGTGTTAAAAATTGGTTCACCTATAAATTTGAATATTCAATTATTATTCATCACAGTTAATCGAAATTACATTTATGTAAATGAAATTAACTACTGACAAATGACTTTCAGTATATATATATATATATATTCATTTATTGAAAGTCGGTCAGAAGAACACAAGGAACGTTCACACATACTGATGCCACACAATGTATCATAGTAACAAGTTTATTATATCATTATTATTATACTGGGAAAACACATGAAATTAGAATAGTGATTTTATTGATGAATTATTTTTTTAGTTTATTTTTAGTTATCTTGTAATCTGGTTTATGATTATTCTATTTGACAAGTATACACATTCAATCATTTTTACATTATATATTTATTTAAGTAGTAATAATTGTAATGACAGTAGTAACGACAATATTTGTAGTATAGCAATATCGAGGCAATTCGTATAGGATGCACATATGCCAATAAGAGACTGATCAATTACAGTCCTAAACAACAATGGGAAGATACAAGCAAACAACATCAAGTGAATAATTTTAGTTATCTTTGTTTCTGATATTAGTGGTATTTTTTTCAACACATATAAATTATAATAGTTGAGGTTATGAGTCAATTGAAGCTAGACTACCATGGAAAACCCGGAAGCACTGGACGGCCATTTCGTCCTATTTTGGGACTCCTCAGCAGTGCGCACCCACGATCTCGCCTCACAAGATTTGAACCCAGGACCTATTAGTCTTGCGCACGAACCTCTAGACCACTGAGCCGGCATCCAAGGTTGTTAATGTCTGACTCCAACTAATCCACAAAATTGATCGACACACCTGCCATTATCTTGAGTTACTATCTCACAACAGATCCGGTTGAAGTATTAGTATATTTATTCAGGTTATGTAAATAAGATTGATAACTGAAGACTGATTAGTCATTCTGACATATTCATAACGCATAAAAAATAATAATGAATAACTAGCATCTAATCGGTAAGTATATTATGTTACTAAGACTAGTCTATTACAAAAAAAATATAAAAGAAATTACAAGTTTACTCATTTGAAGCGGATGTGGAAGTAGGACCACATTTAATTGGGAATATTATTTCTCCTTGTTACAGACTAAGTAACATATTTGGTAAAAACGTGAATATATTTGACAAGTATAAATGAACAATTATTCTATCTAATAGGTTGGGAATGATTCAAACAGGCGAAGATACCATTATTTTGTATGTGATAAAAATAGTAAATAGAGAAAATGAAAAATTTTAGATCAAGTTTTCATAGAAGTTTTAAAATTGAAACTATGTATATATCTAATAATCAGTCATACTAAGTAAAAATCTTATGATACCTTTTACAGTTTTGTTACTGTTTCAAAAGGGAATGAATCGAGCAAGATATTCGTTTACAACTTACATTACAGATTGACCTTAGTTACACAACCATTGAAAACAACTAAGCACTAGACAGTTATTTTATTTTAATATGGAAACCCTTAGCAGTTCGTAACATGAACTCCGTCAAGGACTGAGCCAAGAATCTTCAGACCCTACAACCAGTGCTCGAATTTCGGACCACTGAGTTAGCATCCGGTAGTTTATGTTTCTAACCTCAGTTAATCTGTAATATTACACGGCGGTCTTCTAATAATATTTGTGCGCAACTGCCTGACATCCAACTTAGTTTGACTCCATTGGTCACGGTCTCCTAGTTTCCGTAAGTTTTTTTTGTTAAGGCCATTTCGTGAGATATACTGCAGAATTCAATAATTCCCACAAACTCCTCATATAATAAATATCTATTTGGTTGCTTTTTGGTAGAGAATACTTTGTTTTCAAGGAAATTTTCAGTATCAGATAGTGATTTCTTTGGAAATCAGGAAATACCGATTGGGTGTTTCACCCTAATATGAGATTCATCAACAATGTATACTAAAGAGTTCAACATGGATCCGGACTCATAATTCGGTTATCGCGTGACGAATATTAAGACAAATTAGGATCAGTGACTTTGAATTAAGTGTACCATATTTTTAAATAAAGTTGTTTCATCATATAGTGTAACTATTATTACAATATCGGTGATAAATACTTCACTCTATATCAAATCAAACCTTATTAGCCATAATTTCACTCGTTAATTGAATAAGAGTTTGAAATTTTATTTATTAAATCGGGATTAGGTGGCTCAAAATTAACATGACCAGTACGAGACTTGAATATCTTCTTTTCATTCAATGACATATGGGTAAGTTGATTTTAAGTATTTATTAAAAGTGAGCTAAAAACTAAGCATAAATTATTATTTAACGTTCTATACGGTTTTTTATGTTTTTCTAATTGATGTCACTCGGTTAATCTAACTATCCGTAGATA